GCTTCTCTGGAGGTTCTAGAGGAGAATCCACGTCCAAGCTCATTCAGCCTTCTGACAGAATTTAGTTCTGTACAGTTGTAGGACTTTGGGTCCTCATTTCCTGCGTAGATATTGACCAGGAGTTATTTGAAACTTCTAGAAGCCACCTGCATTTCTTGCCTCATGGACTCCTCCATCTCCAAAGCTAACAACAGCTCAATGAATCCTTCTCCTTCGCATGCTTCAAACCTCTCCTACTCCCTCTTCTCCCAACAGACAGAAAAATTTTTCTATTTTACGGGCTCATGTCATCAGATGGCCCACGCAGATAATCTCCTTATCTTAGTGATATCATATTCACAGGTTCCAGGAATTAGGGTGAGACATCTTCAGTAGGTTATTCTACTTACTGCATTAGAGAAGATGAAAACTGATAGAATCAACTTGGGGCTATAAGAATAGTGTGGGAGGAACCTAAGAGTGAGGGTAGATGGCTTAAACATAATGATTAATGTTTAAAGCAGATAACATAGCCCCCTGGGCGTGAGTTAAGAGACTTCCAGGCAGTCCTGAAAATTAAAATCATGTTTTCATGAGGAAGTTCTATCAGGTAAAATAATCTTTGATTACAAAATATTATGTCTTCCTGAAATTGGTTTAAACAGCAAGGGTATTTATTGTTCTCACACAACAGGGAGTCTGGAGATGGAGTGGTTCAAGAAGAATCCTTCAAAGCTCAAGCTCTGCTATTCTATAATTCTATATTTTTTTATAATTCTAGTATTTTCCCTCTTCCTAGTGTTCTAAGCAACACATCAATTCATGACAAAGGTGACAGCATCAGGGTGGACAGTCACAGACTATGTTGGTCAAGTTTGGAATTTCTGTGGCAATTTAGATCCTAAAAACTAAGTAAGTTCAGTCTATTCGCTACTGGTTAATTGCTTGCTAGCAGCCACAGCCTAAGATTTTGTATAGACATTTTCTCAGAGTCTGAAAATGTCATTGTCTCCACTGTCATCTCAATACCCAGAACATTCCCAGGGGCCCTCAGCTGAATAGCCTTTATCTTGAGGCAATTCAAAACAATGGAATTGGGTCTCTTTTGTCTGTCCAGGAATGCTTAACTATTTGAAAGAGACCTGAGAAAAAGGCTTTTTTCTACCTCATCTTTATTCCTGCTAAGTTTCCTACCTCCTTCTGTGCTTAGACTAAGTTCTGCTTGAATAGACAATTTGGCTTTTCCAACCCTAACCCTAAAAGACTCTAAATTATCAGATTTAGTCAATTTGGATTGTAGATTGCAGACTTCAGGCTCCTCACCTTAAAAAAAAAAAAAAAAAAATCTCTGCTTTTAGATAGACCAATTTCATCCTAAACTTGTCTTTCTCTTGTAGGACCTTTCTGAGGGCTGAAATATATACACAACATACTCCAACATACTAATGTTTTCCTACCAGCCACTTAATACCATCTTCTGATTGGCAGCATCAATGCCCCCAAGTACAATTTCTGATGGTTTAACTAACCATTTCCAACCACATAGCAAAGTTTACCAACTTTCCCTTTAGAACAGCATGACCCTCCCTGGCTCCTACCCCACTTCTCCACTCAATCAATCCTACAATTTAAGTGCTTTTACAGATAGCTCCTTACTCCTAGAATGCAAATGCAAATTTACATCACCTTGAATCTCTTTGGCTGAGCTGCTCCAGACACAACATGTCAAAACTCTAGCTCCACCTCCCAGCAATTCTCTCAGCAATATCCTCCTTTTGTGAGGCTTCATTCTCAGGACAACAGCAAGACAACTTAGGCCATTCCAGGCATAATAGCAGAGGAAAGAGAAAATCTCTCTTCTTGTTCATCTTTTT